ATTTGATTGAAAAGAAACTTTGTTGAGTAGAAACCCTTCAAAAAGCACTTACTATTATTGGCCCCTAAAAAAGATCTTCAAGCCACTTTGGCCCTCAAGTAAAATTTTCTGGCTGAAACACTGCAGGAGTATATTGATGAGTACTAATGAAGTGTTGGGACAACCTGATAGAATGCTGGGGGGTCACCTGTGATGGACTAGCATCCCATCAGGGGGAATAGCAACACTCCTCACTGCTTCCAGAAACTGCTACGAGAAACTAGAATCTGCTGCTACCAGAAACTAGAAACTGCTGCTACCAGAAACTAGAAACAAGTAAGAGTTACATGTAAGTGCTGAGAGCTACGAGCCATTTGAGCTTAAATCGCTTATACTTCTACAACATCACTTACTTTTCTCCTAGATCTCTTTCCCCATCAGCATCTACTCTGGCCACAACACACTGGAAAAAGAGGAATCTTTTCAATCACACCCATTCAATTACTGCTACTTATCTCCTATAACTATATGCCCCTTAGTATGCATTTTTCTTTTTATCAATTAGATAACAAGCTCAAGATTTGTATCATCTCCTTGTCAGCTATCAGGCACAGAATGTGACACCAAATAATTGTTTTTAATTAGTATAAATCTACTATAGTCGTTCAAAACATAAACAACAATTCTCTTCATAGACCCTTCAAAATCACAAAAAAGCTAGTCACTTACTCCAGCAAAATAGATAGTGAGTTTGCTAACCAATCAGAGAATGGCATTTGTGATAGAAAACTAGTAAATTTCTACTTGAAAATAGAAAACATTTCTCTGTGTTTCTATCAAGTTATAGAAACACTTGGGGCTGATTATTTAAACGAAGTCTAAGTTAATCATTTTTTAGGGCTGAGCCGCTGTTGAGACATTGTCTCGATAAACAACGGCTAAACGATGCTTAAAATTCATTATTGAAACGCGACTGAACCGTGTTTTCTAGAGTCAATGGCTAAACCATGTCTTACAAGGAAATGCATTGTCTGCGGAATTATTTCGTATGCAAATTTCCAGATTTTGGTTATGGCTCTTAAACATGGCTTCTAAAACAAGCCCCACAACAAATGTCAGTGAACAAGAAAAACTTTAATTGGCTGAATTGGGTAGAGACTTTCCAGAAGTGGAAAGCAGAGACTACGAGAGTAAAACCGTGTCGGCAAAAAAGGCAAAGGCATGGAAGAACATGCTAACTAAATTTAACTCCCAAAATCCTAACAGTATCAAACGTGACCTCAGTCAGCTTCAACTGATGCTGGAGGTGGCTGAAACTTCATTCAAAAAAAGAGCATGACTTACATCATCATGAAGCAAAAATAACTGGTGGAGGAAAAGCTCCTGCCTCCCCAAGTGAAGTAAGCAAATTAGTAGCGGATGTAATCCCAGCCTCAGTTAATCCTCTAGAGCAGGAATTTGATGATGATGCAGGGTAAGAACTTGATTTAAGGTGGGACAAAGACGACAGGGAAGTTGTTACATGTGAAGTGGAGCCAAACCTTGAAGCCAGTGGAAAAAGTCACGAAACAGGAGGATAGTCAGAAGTACAGTAATTTTTAATCGCTTCTAAAAACTGTTTTTTAGAATTGCCAATAACCCTCTGGAAAGTTCATGTCCAATAGGATCTTCATTGGTGTAAGCGGCACACCTCTCCTTGTTTCATGCTAAAGATCTTTGTCCAAAAGTTTTACGAGGTCACTGATGTACCGAGTCCTTTCTAAAGCGAAAACGCAATCAAAAGTCTTTGTGGTTGTATTCCTCTAATGGGTTAAATTTATCCCTAGAGTGCCAAATTGTTCGAACATGTATATTAAGTTGATTGGCGTAGTTTCTTAGTACTGTCTATAGCGCAGAGGTCCCTCCATTTCAAAATGACTGACGATGAAAATGCCATTAAACAGCGTTTAAACCTACCTTTGATCAGGTCTAACTTACTATTGTTCCTTAGTTGGTGTTTAGACACTGTCTAAACATTGTTATGGAAAAACAAAGTTTAAATAATCAGTACTCTGGTTTACATGTAAACATGGCTTAGACAATGACTTTCATAAACGATGTCTAAACTTCGTTTAACTAATCGGCCCTTGCAGTCTGGGAGAATTCGAAAAAGCTGTGGGAACATTTGCTTGTGACCTGTTTGCCCACTATATTTTGCATACTACCAAACTTCCACCTGTGTATTTATAATTTTACAGATTGAAACACAAAATAGTTTTCATTTCTCATGTGTATTGGGAACTAAAACAGTTCCTTGCAAACAGACTTTGTCTACATATCAGTCATTCAAAGTTGGACATAATATACTCTGTAGCTATTAATAGCACATTTTGTTCTGTTGCTACATACTTACATTTGGTTCATTCTTGAATGCCATCCCCACTTTCTCATAAACAGGGGCAAGATTTTTACAGTGGCCACACCCTAAAAAAAAAAAAACTTTTAGAACAATCTATGCAATGAAAGAAAGCACAGGCTGAGAGACAAACAAGATGAATACACAACAGTCTAAATCTGAAAGATATCAATGTTTATTGTTCGACAAAAGTTATACATGTAGGCCTGAGAATGTGGTGGTAACCAGGGGTTTCATTAACATTTTCAGCAGGAAGACAACTGGTTTTTGCTCTTGAACAGAACTATTTGAACTTAACTTTTTTGTAAGTAAAACTTTCCTCTGGACAGTCAAACCAGGTGGGCAAATTTGAAAATCATCCCTGGCTCACAGTCGATCAATTTACCCAGTCTCATCCAGACCTATTCCTGCATCCTATTCCTGCATTTTCATTGTTCACATCATTCATCTCTCCGACCCATTACCCCCAGCAATACTGCACAGCCCACAAAAAAGTCCTGTTCAACAGTCCAGGGCTAGTAGATAACTGCAATCAATTTTATTCAAAATCACATAGCTGAGCTGTATAAAGTAATTATAATTGATTGTCTGATTAATTTTGGGGGCAAAGAGAAAGCACCTCCAGAGTGATGTGATCATTATCTTGGAGTGACATCTTTATTACCCTTGGAAGTCATATTATCACAAAAGGAAGAATTAAGAAGAGTAGATACTGCGTATTCTTACATGGGGCGTAGAACTCGACCAACACGTCCTTTGTCTTGTCCAAGACTACTGAATCAAAATTTGAAGAATCCAAATCTACAACATCTGTCTTGGTCACTAAGACTGCCTTGTTACCTCGGGCACCTGAGAATAGGAAGAAAATGAAATTAGGAAATGATGAATGGGGTGATAGTCTTCAAAACATACAGGACTCCCAAATTCTACAAGTCTCTTGATGGAGGATACTAATGTAGTCAGAGAAACAACTGCAGCCTGTGAGAGAATCAAATAAGCTTTGTTCTGTGAGATAACCAGACAAGGCTGGAGAAACCTCAACACACTTCACAGGGTTGTAGTTAAGGAAATAGTCTCCCGGCTAAGATTTTCATCAAGCCGGTCTTTATTTTTTGAGAGAGACTTAGAACAAAATTTTCATCCCCAATCTTTTGCAACGCCTTGAATGCGGGGCTACCAAGCTTTGTGCTTACAAGATGGCGGACATATACAGTACACGGAAAGAGGACATGCTAAACAAATGCTCAAAACAAGATTTTATTTCAATTTCATTATGCGCTATTATAGTGGCACCGATACTCAAGGTAGTAAGGAATTTACAGTATTCTAAACTTTTCACTTAGATGGGTCGATGATATCGAATGATTGTAGGTGCCTAACCTAAAAACCATTCACTGTCCTATACCGAGTGATCGCCTGCCAGAGTCCAGCCGGCAATCACCTCTTTTTCAGCTGGCAAATTTTGCCCACAGCTGGCACTTAGCGACAACTCTGACTTCAAGGAACAATTATTTTTGGCTGGGTCAGTGACAAATTCATGTGTATTATTAATTAAAAGGAATTTCATGTTGTAATTACCAGGAAATACCCAGGCTCACTTACCAGATTTGCTCTCAATAAATGACATTAGATCTTTAATGTCCCTTCCACCTGAGTACCTTTTTGATAAATACAAAAGAAAATATACATGTATAAATATTGTGGTTATGATTTTATGGCATCTTAGAATGATTTTATGGCATCTTAGAGAAAATAGTAATAGTAATTATAGTACTTAACATCATGGATGACAAATTACTCCTTCAAATTTCAGCAATAATTTATACTTTCACAAGTGGAATTACAGAATTGCCATGTTAATGTTTGATGTGAAATTTTCATGATACAATAACTAATTCTAAAACCCAGGATTGTAAGGTTAACTTGTCACCCAAGATAATAAAAGGTAATCAAATGGTACACTTGTGAAATTAGGAAATAGTTTAATGCACATTTGTCAAAATTCAAATGATTTTCCTCCCCCAAAGGTTCAGAAAATTATAAGAATTTTACTACTATTGGATTACCCACACTAATTTTTATTACCTATATGAGAGTGGCTGCCCATTCTCGTGAGCCAGGAGCTCACGATAAAAGTGCTCAACCAAAAAATTGACTTAACAGTTGAAGATACCGGTTCTCAACGTGAGAAATACATGTACATGCAGTGTAAGAAAGAGAATTGTGTATGTAGCAGCCATTACAAGAATCCTTTACTACTTCATTCATGACTGTTTCCTGATAAGGCATAAGGGGTGATTGCATGGAGCTTTAAAAAGTTAGAAATAAAGGTTGGGTGATGTCTTTAAAACTCTATTACACAATACTTATATTACTACTAACACTACTATTGTCCTCGTGAAAGGGTTAAAAAAAAAATTGATCCAGCAAGTTGCTTACTCTTCAGCAGACGTGCTTCCTTTTGGAAAGTACTTGAGAGTTGGGAAACCACTGACTCCAAATCTGGAGCCAAGAGTTTTTTCTGCATCAGCATCAACCTTGGCAATGATTACATCAGCTTTAGCAAATACTGATCCTAATTTTTCATATGTTGGTGCAAGAGCCTTGCAGTGACCACACCCTATAAGAATGAAATTCAGCACACATAATACATATATATAATTTTATTATAATGATTTTTATTTATTGTTATTTATTTTTTTATGATTATTTCATTTCATTTTGTTTTTTTTTATTTAGTGCATTAATGAGCAGATACTAAAAAATTACAAAAAGTGATCTTCTGAATACACTCTTAGATGTTCTTCATAAGCTGTACATCAAATTTGGGGTTTCCATTTAAAAATTAATGGCAATCCATTTGGGATGGTTAGGGTTGTTGGGCTCTTACTTGGTGTAGAAGACACAGTTGATGTCAAACAATAGAACAAAAGGACAAAAGAACAAGGAATACAATAAAGACTATAGGTTTGTCAGGCACTGTTCTATTGGAGTTACAAAAATATCCATACCCCTCCCACCGAAGGTTTTTTTAGCTTGAACCCCCTCCCCCACCCCTCTGGAAACTCCATTTTAGTACCATACTTTCCTTTAAAAAAGTGGGCTTTTGAAACCCCCTCCCCTTGGAATTTCTGTTAACCTTCCTTGGGGTGGGTATGGATATTTTCTGGAACTACACATTTTATGCTTCTTGGTGTCGAAGACACCAAGAAGCATAAAATAAACTTTGTTGCCATGCAGTTGGGTTTCATAACCAAGAAGGAGCTGGTCATCTGGGAGGGAGGGGGGGAGGTCTATCAGTCCTTGAAACCCAGACAGAAGGGGGAGGTCAAAAAATCTTACCATCAACTAGGAGAGATAAGAGATAAGGAAAAATGGAGTTTTGTGTTTCAAGAAAAACACATCCAAGGGTTAGGTATACCACAACAACTTGGACTATTTCCAAGGAAGGTGGCTTAAATTGCATGATGGTACTCAACATTTTCACACAGGCTGCATGTCTTTCATGTTTATCAGCAGAAAAGGTTAAGCTTTATTTTGGCTGATTATTGTTTGCAATTAAAAATAGTTAAATTAAAGAGAAGAATGGTTATGATTAGCCTGGCAAACATCAAAGGAGCAAACAAATTTTAAAAAGAGTTATGTTGGAAGGTCCACCACTATGTGCAATCTGTTGTTTTGCACTCAGTTACGCTATGCATGAATTACTTATAAAAGTTCTGAAACATTTCCATTGGTTAGTTCCTCAGTCAGTAGTAAATAACTAAATAAGCACTTTTAAATGACTGGCCCCTAAGGAAACAGTGAGTTTTGTTTCCCCAAGACCCTCACTGCAGGCTGGCTCACAAATTTGCCACGGTTTCAAGGAGCAAGACCTGATGACATGCGAGTCGAAAGTTCAAGTTTTGTTTCCCTAGGGGAAGTTTTGTTTCCCCTAGGGAGTGAGTGAGTTTTGACCCATGACACATGACACGCTCTCCTCCAATTGGAAAACGTATGAGTTGGGAAGTATATCCGTGTGTTTTGTTCAAAGCCAAAGAAGAGAACAAAAACATTACATGTACAACAACGAACTTTGTCGGCATGCAGTTGGGTTTCATAACCATTTCACTTTAACCTCGTTTATGTACTCACAAGGCGCATAGAATTCCACAAAAGCAAATTTATCGCCATTTATAACCTAGGAAGAGAAATAGGAGAGTAAAGTTTACGTTAAATTGTTCGAAATGAACCTTAATAGAACTTAACAAACCTGCACAGTACGATAGTACAAAAACACGTGTCAAGGGCTAGTAGAGCTAAATTACGCTTAATTATTTGGGCAGCTGAGTTTGAATAACCATTCAGTTAAACATGAACAAAAATGTTAAGTAACTAAACTGTAACGATAAACTGATCTTTACTGACAGTAGTGAGCGAAAATCCCAGTCACTTCAATGCTGCTTTCAAGCTCCCATTGCTTTGTCCAATCATAGTCTGACACCGCTGTTAGAGTGCATCGCTAATTAGCGAGGAATCTCTTTGACTAAAAGGTCGCTAATAAAAACTTACCGAGTCAAAATTGTCATTCGTAAGTTGAATTACATTTGCTTGACATAAGCAAAGTCCAGCGAGTAAGAGCAGAACAGTCGAAATGAGAACCATTTTCAGCAAAACCTTCAGCACAAGCCTTCAGATGTCGACGAGAGACGAGAGGAGAAATCTGAAGGAACAGCCCGCGTTTGCGGGCCCAGCGGATTATCAAACAAATACTCGGCTGAAGGAATGGTACCAAGTTGAAATTGCACATGGCGGAATTGTTGTGATTTTGCCTTTTTCGTGTTCTTCGTTGTCGATTGAAGTTTAAAGCTACTCCAGAGGAAAGAGTCCTTTTCATCCTTTCAGATCTACCTCTGTACACAATGCCTAAAAGAAGTTCCGATGAGACTGTTCAAAACGAGAAGGCGTTCTCCAAAAAGGTCGGTATAATTGTATGAAACGTACTGCGGTAAAAATCAGAAGATCACGAACAGCCAAGGTACAGGAAAGTTAAAAGTGAATTTTTTGTCTTCATTTTAGGCTGAGAAAAATCTGTTTCAGTTCGATAAAAATCGCCCAGATAGTTCAAAAGAGGACGCAGACACATCTGACAGTGAAGAAAGCTACTACTCCGGACTAGAGAGTGAATCAGAAACATCACAAGATGAAGAAGATGAACAGGATTCGGTAAGGTTGCAAAACTACACTCACCCTGCTAATCTATATAGGGCAGATGTGTAGATTTCTTTATTAGCTAAAATATTTATTATGATAAGCACGGAAGGTTAACGGTTTGTAGCTGACGGAAGAAGCCTCCAGTAAGCAGAGTGAACAAATTTAACACTTAATTAATAAGCACGATATCCAAGGGCCAAATGGTCCATACCATCCTTGATTATTGGAGGATTGACTGTGTCACTGGCAGGTTTCGTGACCTATATCTCATGGTTAGTGTGGTGAAGTCTGTATCGAGCAGTCCAGGTTTCAAGCCCTGGGTGGCCGATCACCACTTTGTGTTCTTGGACAAGACACTTCACTCTCACAATGCTTCTCTGATCTTCACCCAGGTGTATAAGTGGGTACTGGTAAACTTAATCCTGGGGGTAACCCTGGAATGGGGTGGTATCCTGTCCAGAGGGGAGTAGAGATCTATACTCCTAGTTGATTAATGCTTTGGAAACCACGCTAGCTCCTGTGGAATGGTCCACTTCGCTTGGTGCAGACTTCAGTTTACCTTTAGTTACCTGACTGTATTAAGAGGAAATGAAGTCTATTTTCAATGATACCTTTTGAGAAGTCATGTTATGTGAAGTGATAGAACTCGTCATGCAATGCTGAAGAAAGGGCTGGTCTTCACTGATATCATATCTAAAGGACAAGCTGTGAGGACTCTGAGCAGCAACACAAGCCTATAATTGACTCCAAGCATAATATTGGAGAATAAACACAATTATTACTTTAAATATACTGTCCTCATTAGAAATCACTGTTGCAAAAATAGAAGCATGAGAAAAGCCAACCTATAATAAGTTTGTTCTTCTAAAGCTTGACAGCCTTGCACCTACAGTGTATGTTGTGGTGATTTCTGCATAG